AAATTTTGTTTGCACGAATTTGCGATCATATTATCAAATTCTTTTTTAACTTCACTACTTGAATATAGTATATATATACATAATATATATATATATATATATATATATCTATATGTATAATATATATATTCATATGTCTGAAGACATCAGTTTCCCATAGTTGCTCATCAGCAGATTGTTATAATTATGTAAATTCACTTATTCTATATCGAAACCACGGTTGTTTGACTTCTATCATTTTAGAGACATTTATACCCACACGCACACACACACAAACAAACGTAAATGCGTAGATATATTATTTGATTTCTCAAAAAATTCTGCTAGCAAAGCATTTTATGACCTCAAAGACCGCAACGGCCATAGCCTGGCTTTTAATAAATATTGACTTTGGTCCATTGACCGGAATTTGTTTATGAAAATTTAATCAAATTGCGTTGTGCATCGATGAAATTGCGTCCATCGACGAGCCGCATAATTTTATAAATATTATTATGCCATTGTCTGTGTTCAGTTTTAGGCACATTCCAGATGGTATAACGGTTTATGTTTTAAATTTACATAAAATGCATTAGGTATGGCTGTGTGTTCGCAGTATTGAAGTCATAATGAGTTCAAGGCTACTGAAGCACGATGTAGATTTTTATGCACATATATATATATTTAAAAAGTTTTTCGTATTAATTGGTTACATATACGTGTGTGTGTGCTTTTCCATCGACGATGCAGCCTGTTTAAAAAGTTTAATATTTTTCGGTTCAGGTCTGTTGCCAAATTTTAACAGTTAAAATTTACAGTTTTTGTTAGTTGAAATAAATTTTTTTCCCTACTAGAAAATTATTCATACAACTTTAATGCTCGCGTAGTTAATGCCTGGCAAGTAGCAAAACCTTGAAAAGTTCTTCAAATTTTTTCAGCCTCACTTTTCAGTGTAAAAATTTTAGGCGCACATTCAGAATTTTATAGCAGAAAAATAGTTAAACATCAAATGAAACTCAGCTTATTTAAATATATAATTCCATTTTTTTAAAGAATTTTTTTGATAATTTTCACAATATTGAGCTTTCACGGTATTTTAAATGAGCTTACCTTTGTTGATATGCCGCTAGCAACATAACGCTACTCATTTCACCGCATTTCACCTTAGTTCAGTCAAAATCTAACGACATGCAGCGTGAATATTTTTAATACTTCGTTTTTTCGCAGCGCATTTTGGTTGGTTTTTTTTTTGTTAATTTTTCGTACCACTGAAATTAACTAGTAAACTGCTGCATCTGCCTAAATATACAACCTTTCCGAAAGCCCAGCCTCGCCCCTTGCTCTCCCGTTGTTGCTACAAATTTGCCATTTTTTTCCGTTACATAGTAATTTGTTAGCGTTTTTCCGCTTCCATCTGTTCGTCGTCGTCGTGTTACATTGCCTAGCCGAGTCTAATTGCATTATCTCTGTACAAGATTGCTGGCGACGAAGGGGCCGCAGGCAAATTGTAAGCTTTCACGTACTCTCTTAAGTATACACTCGAATGAGAAGTGAACTTAAATAAATTTCCATGTAGTTTGTGGGCATTTTTTCTGCCTTTTCTCCTTTTTGTGCTTATTTATTTCTGCACTTTAATAAGTTATTAGGGTGCAATTTAATTCAATTTACCCTAAGATTACCTCAAGTTGAAGTTACGCAGGCTCATAGACTGCTTGTTTGTTTGTCTGTTTTGTTAGTAACTCTTACTTCAGTTGTAGTTTATGGTGAATTGTGTGTAAGTGGGCGTTGCGGTAGTGCTGCCACTTGGTAACTTAAGTTTCTTATTTATCTAAGAAAATTTCTTTTCATGTGCAGTGCACTCAATTACTGGGACTTTTTGTGAATTTGTGGCGGAAAATTTTTGTTTTCTGCGTGGAAAATTTCCTTGCTGTGAAAAATGGCAACAGTGTGTAAAAGAAAACCAAAGTTAATTTACATCACAAAATTTGTAAACTGTAGCTGTCTAAGTGGGACACTTTCAGGAATAAGAAATAAGTGTTTCTCAAGTTCCTTTAAAAATGAGTTATTTTTTCAACAGGAAAATTGGCAACATTGCATCCTATAAGTTAAGACTGCAGGCACTGGTAGCTGAAGAGCAGTCATTTTTGTGTTAAAGAATTTTATTCTTTGTGAATAAGACAGGAAAAGAAATACCTCTTCAAATACGTAAAATTTGTATAGCGAAAATTGGCAACAATGCCGGAAGGGGTTTCGACTTTGTTCCAAAATGAGCAGACTCGAAAATTTGCGTCACAAGCAGCTTGATATTCTTGAAAAACAAACAGAATAAATGGATCAATACATAAAAAACTTAATTTCTTCTTTAGGTATGCTGATGGCAATGTGAAATACTAAGAAAGGTTTGGTAAGCAGGCTATGAGCTTTGGAATCAGAAGAGTGGCTGTTTTTGCATGTACGCAGAATTTGTGTGACATGAAAACTGGCAACAAAGCTGCGGACCATCTGTAGAGTTTAACATCCGTCTTTGGAGTATTGCAAGACAAAATTTCTTCGTGAAAAGGAAGAAGAAGAACTAGACGGCAAGGAAAAAAAGGAGAGGAGTAGAAAAGTGAGGAAGTAAACTGAGACATAAAAAGGAAGAGCTGCAAATTGAAAGATACAAAATAAGGAAAGGAAGAATAAGTAGGGATTTTCGAATTGAAAAAGCTAAAAGCTCTAAATGAATGGAATAGAGAAAAAGACAAGAGCAAAGATGCTTATAAGGACCGCTTATAAGGGTAGAAATTTAATGAGAAAAGGTTTGTAAAAGAAAGAGGTAGAAAACAAAATAGGAAGCAGAGAAAAACAAAAATAGTAACAAGAAGATAAAGAAGAACAAATAATTAATAAAAAATTAGAAAATTGAGCAAAATGTAAACAGGAAAAAAACAAACAAATAAAAATATAGAAAAGCAAAATGTGTAGCAATATGGAGAAATTGGAAAAGAATACGAATGATGAATGGAATGGGAATAAACAAATGTAGAAAACAGAAAGAGACGTTCAAAAGCAAGAAAAAGTGGAGATGTGCAGGAAGAAAGTAAAAGTTGAAAAAATGGGAAAACTTCAAGCAGAGGGTAAGATTAAAAATATTATGGAAGAAATGAGAATAATGGCAGAAATGATATAAGTAAGAAATATGTGAGAAAAAACAATTTAAGAAAAACAGACGAAATCAAAAAGGATAACTCAAAAAAATATAGAAAAATATATAAAGAGGGAACGAAGAAGAAACGACGGCATAAAGGGAAATGTAAGAAAAGAAAAAAAATGATAAAAGAGCATAGAAAGGACAGAAATGAAAAAAGTTAAAGAAAAACTAAGCAAATGATAATAGAAAATTTGCAGTACTTTGAAAAAGCTAAGAAAAGTTAATAATAATAAATAAATAAAACATAAATTAGAAAGGAGGAAAATGTAAAAACTGCATGGAAAGAAGAAATCAAACAAAACAAATAAGAAATTTCTAAATTTTTGAAAGACACTGTAAATAATGACGAAAATTTAAGAAGAAGTAGAAACGCATAAGAAAAGAAACTCTTTTCTGCTTGTAAATTTTTGTGAAACATAATCATAACTTATAGTCGAAAAATATTTTTTTGTAAGTGATATGAGGAAAGCAAAAGAATATCAAAGATCAAAGATATAAAAATATATTTTAATTAAAAAAATATTTATCCAAAGAAATATGTGGTGCATTATTTTTCATTTTTGCTTTTATAGCAAAATATTTCTTTGTTAAAGTCATACTATAACGGTTAAAGAAAAATACTACGTGAAGTAGCTGCTAGACACATAAACGACTGTGCTGTTTGCTGTGCGATCAATACAACTGAATAACGGTTGTTAGTAGCGCGTCTGATGCTCATCCATTAATTACATACTTCATAACAACAGTTATTTAGGCCACTGAACCATGCTGTAGTCAAAGACACACACACACACAAAATAAATATATGCTGGCGGTAAAACTTTCATCATCATCAACGCGCTGACAATATCACTTATACGCCGTGTAGCCAGGAGCACCAGCGCGCGCAGAAAAAACCACAGAGGACACGCACATACACCTATGAACGCACACTACAGTTAGATTACTTCCATGCAAAGCCACACCTAACAACACAACGTATGCATGTATGTGTGCTTGCTCATCGTCAGCTTGGCTGCGTTGTCACTGTCAAATCCTGGCAAGCACAGCCAAAGCCCCCATAAGTCATTACTTAACTAGGATTTTCACGCTCATCCCATGTTAAGCTTCACGCACACAAAATTTCTAATAAGTTTAGTATGGCTCAAGTGTAGTATGCGGGCAAAGAAAGTGAGATTTACTTACTCCAGTTAGGTGTTGCGCTGCATACATATACACATGCATTGTACGTAGTTAGTGCACTTACAGCGAAATATATTTAAATTTTTTATGGCTGCTTAATCTAAATACACTTAATACATACATATGTTCAGATTAGAAAGTCCTTTACACGCATACATATGTGCATCGTAGTAGTTCCTAAGGTGTCCACATTCATATGAACTAAATACCTACATGCACTTATCCCATTCTATGTTGTGGTTGAACTGCTCAAGTTGGCTTGTTTAAACCGTTATTATTATTCTCCGACATTTTCAGCTTAGTGATTGCGCGTTGACAAGCGCCTATCACTCATACTACTGACTCATCAGCGTGCTAAACGTGGCATGTTTCAAGTAGTTATTTCTTGGCGGAAGTAAATGTTACGAATTACGGCGGCATAACCCAGTGGGGATTTGAGAGGGAGCAATCGTTCAAGGAGAAAAACTAAACGGGTTTAAAAAAAATTTTGTTCGTCATTCTGAGCTATTTTTTTCTGCTATAGAACTATGCCTGCAGTTCGTTTTATATTACAACTTATAAACGCTTTTAATAAAATTTTAACCATTCTCTTTATTTTTATTCGATACAATTTTTTTCTTTTATTTACTAATAATTAAAAAAAAATATATTTGGTATAAAACTTTCCAGAATTAGTTTTGTTTTAGTTTTGCTGAAAAAGATTACTTAGAGACTTTCCCAGACAACCCGAGATGATAATTAAATCATATTTTTCCTCTCTTTCTATCTTTATGCACAACCTCCATATTTTTTTTTGTTTTTCCATCCTGCTTTTCTTCTCTCATACTCTTGTGCTTCCTCTTTTTCCTCTTCGAGCTAAGAAAATAAATTTTCTTTTTTGTCTTATTTGTTCCTTCAAATTTAATTGACGTAGTCATAATTTATATGGTTCAGCCGCCATTCGATTCTTCTTTTTGTCGTTCGGTGACAATTGGAGACCGCAAATAAAGGCCATTCTCGGCCTAATCCAATAGTGTGCAGGACTTCTTTCTCTTTTGCTTTCACCGGTACGTGTCTCCGCTGCCTCTTACATACTTCATTTGCAAAACCTCTCTCTCGAATATGATCAATGCCTAGTCATCAGAGGTTGTCACCGTCCAAGCTTTCAGTTTTCGACTCAGTTCAAAATAGCACGTGTTGGACTTCAAGGTTAATCTATTGTTGATATATTTCGTTTTGCCCTCATTCGTTGTCATACTTATTCGCCTCATTTCTGTTCAGTCTGGAGATAGAAAGGTTAATGATCAATAGAATCGGCATACACGATTGCATGCTCTCATAGACCATGGTTCATTTTCTACTTAGTTCTGTAACAAACTGTAACGTCTTACCTTGGCGAAAGTTCCATTTGTTACCAAACGACTTGAAGCGGTCTTCTTTGTTATCGTTTAAGCGAGAAACTGTTATTTTAACTTTACCTTAACAGAGTCGACTTGACTAGTCAAATTTGGATTTACTATTTTCATTGCGTTCTTATTTACTATAAATAACCAGGCTGGGCGAGTGTTCTTTAAATAAATTCAATATACTCGTATTCCGAATGTCGGTAGTCAGATCACATTACTTTGACACTCTGTTGTACTATGTGCGTAGGGTTTCTTCGGCGAACGGTTGCCTCTACCACCATAAAGTGAGCGAGGTTGATATGAAAATATCCAAGTAAATTTTCATCAAATGGCGGGACGAATCGACAGCTCATCTACGGATCGCTATGTTTTGATCACATTCTCTCTGTCTGACAAGTACATGTACAAATAGGTGAATATAGAACAAGTCCAAGCAGTCATCCCACACAAAAATATATTTGAAGAAGATAAAAGTCGGATTAATCCAGTAACTTAATCTGGAATTGAAATAAGAAATGATAAAGAAAAAAGTTCACGTCAGAAATTTGAAAAAAGAATAGAAATTTGATAAAAATTTCATTAAAAAATTTCCTTAGCTTTGTGTGAATATTGGCTAAATCGGGCAAAAACTACGAATTTTTCGCATAAAACGTGGTAGGAAGGCCACTTTTACTACCTATTACAGGTACCTATTATGATGTGCTCCAAAAAGCTGGTCGATGAAAGTACAAAATATTTACAACATTTTAATAGTGATTGTGCGCTCCAAGCGACTGCCATAAAATTTCCATCATTTTTCGGCTGTATAAAGAATTAAACCATTTTTCTAGATGCATCAGGTCATTGCACTGTTGAATTATTTTTGAGATTTTTTATTGAACTGTTTTAGATCATATATTTTTTGGAAATAGTGAGAAAATTACAACAATAGTTTTGGACGGTAGTTTTTCGTTGAACATGAATATTAATCGAATATCTCAAGCTCGGTTTCACCTAACCCTACTTTCTCAATCCTAGAGCTGCGTAAAGGTAAAATTGATTAAGGATTTTATGATGCACCTGATCCTCCAGCTACTGAAACAATTGGTAAAGTTTTGAAGAAAATTTGAAGACAGTCTCTAATGTAGTTACAGATATTAAAATTTTTTTATATTTAACAACAACTTTTTTTTTGTTTATATAAATCTACACGAAATTATGTCGTTCTATTCGAGACCCTTAACAACGCAATACTTTTTTTTTTAAACGGAGGTAAAAAATGTCAAGAAACATCAGATTCGAGAACTTTTCGACACTTTATGCGATTTAAACTATTTTCTTTGCATCAAAATGCAAGTAAAACACGTTGGAGGCATAAAAAATGATTATGTGTTCCTAAAGTAAAGAATTGGAAGCATAATCGACGATTCCACAACCAACTTATACCCAAAAATAATAACAGGCAAATTAGAGATTTGAAATTGCATTCAAAACTTATGTTGTAATCCTCTTTGATTGCCCAAATAACTAGGACCCAATGAACACTTAAGAGCATTTTCAGCTCAACACAGCAAACTCCATGTGGTTGCCAGGATTATAAGGTAAATTAGTGAAACAAAGCGATTCAAACGTTTAAATACTATTCATGACAACGTCAGCTTAAAAGCGAGCAAAAAGATGAGAGGGAGAGAGAAAAAAGAATAAGCGTATATAAAAACGGGAAAAATGTGAAAGCCAGTGCTGCTAGTGCTGGGATTGCCAACGACGATGGTGCCATTTAGTTGCGGTAACAGCAATTTTCGGTAATAATAGCTGTGGTTTGCCGTCACGGCTTGGCTGCCTGCCGTGGTAAATGATGTGTAAAATTATGCAAAACATAATTTACTATATTTAACTGCAGGTAAAGAAATTAAACGCTGGAGATTATGAAGAATGAAACAGAAAAGGAAATTTTAATAAAAAGTTGGCAGAGTATAGAATTTATTTAAAAAAAAATCGCGCAAGTAGTTATATACTTTAAGAAAAAATAAAAAATTTAAAAAAAATAAAACGTAGAAATGTTAAAAATATTTAAATATGAATACGCTATTTTGTTGGGGTTTTTTTTGGCGAGTCCAAGATTAAACTAACTTGCGAAACGAAGCACACAACTATTTTAAAATGGAAATTGACTAGACTTTTTCCAAACGAAAAAAGGAAGACAAAACGCAGCACTTTAACTAAACTACTGAGTGTCGGACTATTTAAGTATTTCATTGCCTTGGAGCTTAAATTTTCTACATTCTCTCCTTAGTTACTTAAAAAGTTCTGCGCAGGACATAACACAACACAACAAAAAAAACTACAGGGACATAAAAAAGGATACTAAATACAAAAAAGAAATAAGAAAATATATACAAAAATAATAAGGCCATTTGAATGCGCTCATCAGCGTAACGACCGAGTATCACCAAAGTGAGGGAAAAATTACAATGAAACACTACACACTTCCTAAATTGGCACATTTCGCCTATACATTTCAACACCTGCATTATATGCGCTCATTTTTATTACAAAGTAAACTTATTTGTTCTATTTTACGCAAAAACAAATAAAAAAATATTGCCGACATAATAACTGCCTTGTATTCATAATGGCCAACAATCACTACATTAACACAAAGTGGCCTAATCCTCATAGGATTTGGAAGAATTTAAAGGTTAATTTCGATGCCTTTTAACTTGACTCGTAAATCGTTAAACATATACATTTAAAATAAAATAAAATAAAAAAAATAAAATAAAATAAAATAAAATAAAATAAAATAAAATAAAATAAAATAAAATAAAATAAAATAAAATAAAATAAAATAAAATAAAATAAAATAAAATAAAATAAAATAAAATAAAATAAAATAAAATAAAATAAAATAAAATAAAATAAAATAAAATAAAATAAAATAAAATAAAATAAAATAAAATAAAATAAAATAAAATAAAATAAAATAAAATAAAATAAAATAAAATAAAATAAAATAAAATAAAATAAAATAAAATAAAATAAAATAAAATAAAATAAAATAAAATAAAATAAAATAAAATAAAATAAAATAAAATAAAATAAAATAAAATAAAATAAAATAAAATAAAATAAAATAAAATAAAATAAAATAAAATAAAATAAAATAAAATAAAATAAAATAAAATAAAATAAAATAAAATAAAATAAAATAAAATAAAATAAAATAAAATAAAATAAAATAAAATAAAATAAAATAAAATAAAATAAAATAAAATAAAATAAAATAAAATAAAATAAAATAAAATAAAATAAAATAAAATAAAATAAAATAAAATAAAATAAAATAAAATAAAATAAAATAAAATAAAATAAAATAAAATAAAATAAAATAAAATAAAATAAAATAAAATAAAATAAAATAAAATAAAATAAAATAAAATAAAATAAAATAAAATAAAATAAAATAAAATAAAATAAAATAAAATAAAATAAAATAAAATAAAATAAAATAAAATAAAATAAAATAAAATAAAATAAAATAAAATAAAATAAAATAAAATAAAATAAAATAAAATAAAATAAAATAAAATAAAATAAAATAAAATAAAATAAAATAAAATAAAATAAAATAAAATAAAATAAAATAAAACAAAATTTTCTTAAATTTAAAATAAACAACTCATTTGATGAAATGCACACTCTATCACAAACAATAATAACAGTTGAATAAAATAATAGTTTATATACAAAAGAATTACGCTTTCTACAAATTTTTGGTTGTTTTATTATTTACTTATTTGCATAAATTTTAACATTCTTAAAAAACACTGGAACAATGCGAGAATAAAAGTGCCGCAAGTGGTTTGTTGGGGTTGCTCCTTTTTCCTCTATGATTTATGACTCTCAATAAAAAGCCCTTACCATCTTTCATTTTTTTTTCACAAAATTCGCATTAACTTTTCCACTGTCAAATTATCGTATTTATATTAAAAATTTATTTTTTCTTTCTGCAATTCTTTCGCACAATTGTTTTAAATTTTCATTATATCATTAGTGTTGGCAATTTATTTTATTTTCGCAGCCACTCAGACTGCCGCGGCAACAGTGACAGGCAGCAGCGGAATGCAAAAACGACAGCGCAAGGGCAGTCAATGCACGACAAAGTGTCAGAGAAAGAGCGATTATTTAATAAGAAATAAAAAAAATGCGTAAAATAAATTGAAATGAAAATGGAAATGAAAATTCACTTGTGTTGTTTGAAAATACAGAAGTGTGAAAACTCTCATATACAATACATTCTTACGTACTTACATACATATATACATATAAGTATGCATTTATCGTATATGAAAAGTTGTGGGAAATACAAAGAAAAATTTCAATAAATTCCACCATTTATCATAATTCCGAGTGTCAAGCGAGCAAACCCATAGAGCTGCAGAGAAAGAAAGAGAGAGAGAGAGAGGGAGAGATAAAGAGAGAGAGAGGGATAGAGAAAAAAGGTAGTGGCAGTGAGAGCCAGGCAGTGGCAACAGCAAACCCACAATGGCATTTGCTTATTAAATTTCGCGAAATAAAAGAACAGAATAAATGAAAAAACAAATGAAATGCGATGAAAGCATATGAAAGAAAAGGCAAAAAGAACATTACAAAAAACCTTAAATATATGTTTGCATGTATGTAGTATATAACTTGACACTACTGCTCTCTACTAAGTAATTATATGCAAGCACACATACTCATGAAAATATATAATATATTGAAATTTTTTTACAAAAAAAAGCGAAAAAAGTGCTAAGCCCCCTATGAATCCACACTTAAATATTTAAAGCGCTCAAAACATTTCTATTGACATTCAAATAGTGTAAAAAGAATTGGGAATGAAACTGAAAATTTGTTGAAAATCCAATTAAGCCCTTTTCAAAATTTTCAACTGTCTGTCACTTTTCCTATTAACAAACAATATGCCCTTCGAGTATGTGTATGTATTTGTGTTGCTGCTAAAAATACCAACCTTCAACTGCAGGCAAAGGCGCCCAATTATATTTTGACTTAATAAGAAAGTGTCTGTTGTTGCGGTTAGAATAATAACATTTCTTCGTATTCCACAATACATTCATGCTTGCAAAGCACATTTATGTATAAATATATTCATTAATAAATATAAATAGCATTTAAGCTTTCCCCAGAAAAGCATATATTTCTGGCCAGCAAATAAGCCAGATCAATTAAAAGTAAATCTCAAACGACAAAGAAATTATAATAATCATAAAAAAGCTTCTATTTAATATGCCACTGAGTTTTTCAATATGTGAAATATGTGTATGCATGTATACATTATAAAAAAAAAAATAGTTTGCTTTTACTATAATTTATGATATTTTATTAACTACAACATTTGTAAGTACAAAACGGTCGGAGTCTGGGTACCCGAACATCTCACTACAATAAATTTACGATACTGGCATACATCTGACCACGACAAAACTCATGCGGAAACTAGCCTTCACCAAAAAAAGATGATAAGAGATGACTCGATAAAAGAAAATGTAATGCTACCAGACAGCTTTGTTCGGTGTTGGACGCTTAAAGATAAGGAATCTAATCCTCATAGACTGGCTGACCCTTAATATAATTGTGATTTGATCTCAGGAGACTAGGGAACTTTTACCATGGTCCTTCACGATCCTGACTGATCCTCAAGGTCAGTTTACATAGCCGTATAAGTTTTGAAGGAATACCAAATTCAGACATAGCGGCGTAGAGACAACTCCTTTTCTTACTGTCGTAGGCGGCTTTAAAATCGGCGAAGAGGAGGTGTGTCGATCCTCTTTTTACAGATCTTTTATAAGATTTCGCCCATGGTGAATATCTATTGAATGGTTGACTTACCAGGTCTAAAGCCATACTGATACGGTCCAAGCAGTTTGTTGACGATATTAGGGTGTCTTATTCAACGGTAGTTGACGCAGAATATAAGGTTCTCTCTTTTATGGATTGGGCAGAGCATTCGTCGGGCATGCTTTGATCGGACCATATTTTGCAAAGACGCTGATGCATGCACCTTTGTCAGGTCTACACCGCCATGTTTGAATAGCTCTGCCGGTAGACCGTCAGATCCGGCGGCTTGAATGTTCTTTAATCAGGCAAGCACTATTAGAACCGCATCATAGTCGGATAGTGGAAAGTCTTCATGAGTTTCATATTCATTATCAGTCAGCAGGCTGTAAAAGTGTTTACCCTATAATTTCAGTTTTCTCTGGGCATTCATCCTTCCCACAGTTAACTCATACCGGGTGGCTGATGAGTGCTCTCATTGAGCGTGAGTGCAAGTCAAGTAGAGAATCTTTCGGTAGTCTGTTGTGATTAGATTTTCTCGTCCTCCAACTTTCCTTGTGTTTGTTGACGGGCGTTTTTCGATACACAGAGGAGCTTGCGTATCTCCGCTGCAACAAGATAATGGTCCGAGTTGATTTTGGGCCCTGGGAGAGTACTTATGTCAAGAAACCTGGAGCCATGTCTTCCGTGCTTGTGGTTTTTGATCTGGAGACAGCGGTCTCCGCCGAATTAGATCAGCCACAAGCCATTGAGGGATGCGTCACTGTGGAGGCATTATTTTTCGTCAGCTGTACGAAAATCGTTCCGAAGAATAGGGTCCCATTTCCCTGAACCGAAGCCTTGTTCCGGGTAAATAAAATACACTTATTACCTGGCAGGGCCAGAATGAGCTGAAGTTCAACGTATCAATAAATGTCAAGATATCCACATCTATACTGGTGGATCTAAATGTGAGACATTTCGGGAAAAAGCGTTCGTCTGTGAATAACCCAATAACTAAGTGAGCTTCAGCGTTCCCAAGCAGGGAATGTGGGCACTCCCAGAGCTGCCAAGTGGGCAACCGCTTTAACAGGAAGGTTGGTCATGGTTTTAGTAGACAGTCAATTGAGTATTAAGGAAATTAAGTTTGCTAAAACAAACTCCAACTGCGTAAGAATACTTTAGCACCGCAGTCAATATTGTAGCCATCGAATGTCTTAGACCTTTCAACGCCTTCAAATGTTTTCTAAAGCGGTGGACTAATAGCATTGGAGGTGATGGAACACTGCCACCGTAGAACGTACCATCATTTTTGTGGGACTACGCAGATGACAGTAAGATCATATTATTCCAAACATTAAGGAAAGCTTTGTATTTTTGGATATATTGAGAGGGAATCTACACCAGAGTTAACATCACTACAAGATATCTAAAGTGGTATCGGCTGAGTATGCATGGAAGACAACGAAACGCTAGAGCATTATCTTTGCGAATACCCGGCCTTCAGCCCACAGGACGATTTATCTCTCATGGTTCCCCCAAATTGAGCCTTAAGTGGAGATAGGCACACTTGGTTGAAAGTACCTTGCGGCTTCGGTGTGGCCACTTCCTTATAAGAAAAGGAAAAAAATTAGTTCAAACATGGATTTATTGCATTTGTTTATTTTTGGATGATTTTTTAAAAAGAGATGTTAAGAACCACGACATATGCTTATGCAACTTGCTTTCGCTACTATACCAAGCAAATACAAATACAAATATACAAACAAAGATCAAAGTTTTTTCACGACTGCTTAGTTTCAATATCTTCCTTCTGTCACATTTAAGAAATCATTTTTCCGAATTCTATGTCCGTATCTCGGTTGTGGTTGCTGCAAATGATGCAAATCTCGGAACATAAAACACAAAAGCAACACGACATGATAATATATAAGTATACGACCGACATTTCCCAACGCCAGTACGATTAAAAGTGCATCTGTGTCAGACACATTCAAACAAAATACATAGGAACTTATCTGTACGTACATATATACATAATAATATCTATACATTCATTTATATATATACTGCCTAATACACTTTTACCCGCATAATTCACTCCATTTTCGCAATGAATCTAAAACCAAAACAACAACACTGCATTGCTGTGAAAGCCAACACAATAGTTGTCATGCATGGATTTGGCTTTGCAGGCGGTTGGACTGGAGTAGTTGCTTAGATATAACCGATTTGCCTCTATAAAGTCATACAATCGTGTCTGCGTGGGTGTGTGTCGTTGTGGCTTTTCATCATCTGTTGCCAAAGCAAACATTTTCTATTCCACGCCCGCTGCATTGCTGACTGTAGCTGTTGTTATTGTTATGGTGTGTGTCTTGTTGAATCAACTGGCGTTTCAACTTTTAAGTGACAAACATTAGTTGCACTGCCTGGCTGCCACGCTTGTTGAGCTGCTGTTGCTCCGTATACATATATTTTTATAGTCTGCTTTTGGTGTTGCTCCAAAAGCGTTGGCTACATTCACAGTTGATTGTTTTGAATGCGTTAGTTTTCTCTAGGTGCAAAGCAAACTTGCAGGAACTAGTAGGGATACCCATAAATTTAAATAAAAAAATTCAATAAAACAAAATAAAATGAAACAAATAAAATCAAGTAGAGTCAACTGAAATAAAATTAATTAAAAAAAAAAAACAATAAAAAAAATTAAATAAAAAATGATATTAAATTAAATAAATTTAAATATAAAAAATAAAAAAATTAAAAAAAAAATAAAATGATAAATAAATAATAATAAATAAAATGATAATAAATTAAAATAAAATAAATTTAAAAAGATCAAATATAATGGAATAAAATAAATAAACTAAAAGATAATAATATATAATAAAAAAATAAATCAAAAAAAATCTAAAAAATAAAAGTTTAAAAAAATATGAATTTAACTAAAATAAAATGAAATAAAACAAAATATAGAAAAATAAAATAAATTATATTAACATAAAAAAATAAAGAGAAATGAAAAAAATAAAATAATAATAGAGATAAATATATAGTTGGATGTTAAATCAACCCTACTGTGCATATATGCAAATATGTTTGAATTTATAATATAAATCCCCATGATTTCTCACGCTTCCTCTCTAAATTATATATTTTTCGTGTCTTTTTTTTCTTTTTTGTAATTTTCGCTCGCTGTTCCAGTTCGCACATCTTAAGACAAATGCGTGTAAGTAAGCCACCAGAGCAACCAGCTGCCAACAGCTACCAGCAAACAACCGAGTTTGCATTGTATTTTCATATGACATACATATATTTTGTATAAAAGCCGTTCTCCTTAGTGGGTTTAGGCTATTGTTTTGTCGTCTTTGCATTTTTTTACTTTTCGGCGTGTTATGTTTTCA